CCCATTCCCATCAATGTAGACCTAGTGGGTGCTTTGGGCGGTGGAGTCTCTGCAGCCAGCAGCTGCTCTGTGCATGTTCCCAACTGCGTAAACAAGAGCAGACTCAGACACAGAAGAGGGAACTCGCACAGCATTGAGTGCATTGCATATGTGGCTGAGACCCTGCTACGTGTACGAGAAATTGCTTAAATTCCTTGAGACTTTTTAGGCGTTCCTCTGTGTCTTTAAGTTAAAGAATGCTGGGCCTGTGATGCTTTGCAGCGGGCGGCAGCAGCGATTCCTGGCAAGTGCAGGCTGACAGGAGGAGTTTGTTCACATTCAGGGGCAGGATGTGGTGCAGTTACTGTGTAGCAGTTCAGACACCCCTCAATTTCTGTATCAGTATTTCATGTGAAGGAAAGAGGTCTGCACATCGCCAGCCTCCAGATACAAACTGTGAATTATCTAGTGGCAATTCCAAAGAAAAGAAGTCTTTTTACAAGGCACAGTTAAGAATTTTATGGCGTATACAGAGTATTAAAGTTGATCATGAAGCAGGTTTTGTACTGTAGCTGGTCTGTAAACTGACCTTTTAGTACTGTACATGTGCAGCTGTAACTTTCACTAAAGTGAGAGAAGAGGTGGCCTCAGAAATGTTACAGATAGGTGTCTTACTGACGAAACGTTTTACCTGCATTCATGTTAAAGTCATAAGCTTATGTATCGTGAATAAACCCTCCTTATTACTGCCAACTCATTTTCTAAGGATAAAAAAAAATACAGTAATTCAAATTGCTTTGCTGCGTTTTATTAAGAATGGAGAATAAATGAGCTGGGTCTCTGTGTGTCACTGACAGGAAACTTTAGTTTTGTTTTGACTTTTGCGTGTTTTAACTGCAGGCCACAAACCCTCAAACTAACTGCAGACAGCCCAAAGCTGATGTTACAGAAGCAGCAACCTTTCACAGAGCAGCTCTGGGTTAAAATAAAATAGAAAGTAATTTCTTCCATAATGACACACTCAAGTTTGGAAAAATAATCCAAATACTTGAATTACAAGACACAAATTGCTTAAGTCAAAGATGTTATCACTAAAGAATATAAAATTCTGTAACGTTTTACTGGAATTAGCATATTTCTGCAAAAAAAAAAACCAACAAACTTGTGTTTTTTTGGATGTGAGGATGTGAGATGCACAGCTTTCCTGGCACGTGCACTGTTTACCAATGTTAAAAAACTCCTCCCCTTCCTGAGGCCTCACATGAGAGCCAGTCTGCACTAGAGGGTTTAGCCCATAGCCCTGTAATTTAATGGCTGCATTTTTATATGCATTTTCTGTGCATGCATGCACTGATAGATTTGACTTGTTGCCGTAATAGGAGGCATTAGAAAAGCAAGAACTTCCTACTGCATCCATCCCAGTTTGCCTCTTGCTGAGCTGGTGGTGGAGGAGCTGGTGGCATCAGAGCCTTGGAGTCTTTACCTGTTGGCTCTGGGTGGGCCCAGTTCCTCAGAACATCAAATGTGTGTTAAGTAGAAACAAACGTAATTTAAAAGCATTATTTATGCATTTATTGCAGACAAATAAGGCTGTTCAGTATAAAAAAATATTTAGAAAAGACGTGATAAGGTGGTTCTCCCCCCCACTCCCCTTTAACCCACGTATGTTGCTCTCCTCTCTCAGGTGACAGCATTTCCCAAGGAGAAGCTGATGACCTGTTGAAGCGCACCCCATCTGACATGGGCAGACGGCCCAGCTCGGTTGACACAGTGGCAACAGAGCCCTGGCTGCGCCCAGGGACGTCAAAGTTGCTCCAGAAGCTGCCGGCTGAGCAGAGCCCAGCGAAGCCGTCACCCAAGACCACGCTGCCCCTTGGCTGGCACGGCCTCTCCACCGCGCACGGGTGACCAGAGCCACCGCGGGGCCCTGGTACTTTCCAGGGTCTCTCCTCGGGATCGGTCCCCTCTATGTATGTTGTGTGGAACTGTACGTGTAACTTAAAATAGCAATAACGAGGTAACAGGAGCTGCAGCATAACGGAGCCGTAGAGCAGGGATGTTTTTTTATCACCTGATGTGGAGGCGCTTGGCATTTTTTGCACTTTTTATACAAGTTTCAGCCTCAGAGCTGGACTTACCACTAAAAACTGTGTGTGTGTGTGTATTTGAATTTGATATTAAATCAAAGTTTATTTTTAGTTTTGTTTATAGGACACTCCGAAATGGCCGGGAAATAGAGTAACCCGACAGCAGGGGTGCGTTTTAAGCTTTTACCAAAAGAGTAACTTAGAGAAGGGCATTTGCTTTTCATACAGTGATGAGTGCTATCCTGCATGAAAGCTTAGCAAACAGTTTTGTGGGAAAACGACTATTACCAATGTCTCTTCTGTTCCCTAACCAGCTCTGTGCTGCAAATACAGATATTATTGCATATATTTAATTTATGGTTCTGATTTGAGAGTTAATAAATTATTTTGTTACTAAAAAAAATGTGAAAGCAGACTTCAGTTTAATTGATCACTTGCTTCAGCTTTCTCTGCATTCAGCTGGAGGCAATTTTTCTGTTTGCCTTCCGAAAGTTGAACTGAAGAGAGGTACAGGAGAGAGTCATGATGACACAGGAGCTCAGTTTTGAGTGAACCAAAACTAACAGCCATTAAGCCCTTTCCACATAAGCAATAAATAACATAAGGCAGGAGGTCGTGCTGTAAAAAAAAGTTATTACCAAATAGGAGTAACCAACAGAACAAGCTGGTAAGGTTTAAAACAAACCAACCCCAAACCACCACCCCAAACTACCAAACTTTCTAGATAATCTATTGTACTCGCTGCCAGTGAATGCTGAATCTTAAACACAGACATTTAAAAAGGAATGGCTGTTAAAGAGTGCTCTGGGCAACGGTGTCAGGAACACCTTGGTAACACCCTGTACTTTAGGAATTAGTTCTGATCGCTGTCAATCAGACAAGAAAGACCTCAGGTCTGGCCTAGGACAGAGGCTTAAGATTTTAAACATTATACAACAAACAGAAAAAAAAACCAGCCCAAGAGGAAAGGCTGTACAGTTACAATGAATTAAAATAACCTCACTTCTCCCCCTTCCAACTTTGATAAATGCCCTTTGCTTTTGCTCCACCCCAATTAACATCACCAGAAAAGTCCTAGGCATGGGTCATGCCCTCTAATTCCTTCCACTGGCTTTCCCATAGCCATTTCTTTGAAGTACCTATGCTTATTTTTGGAGCCTGCAGTGAATGGCTACAGGGAGATTCATTCTGCTGTGAGATGAGGCTCCCTCTGGGGTTTTGTGAGCACATGATGGGGAACAACCCACTCCCAATTCCACTTTTCCTCACAGAATCAGAGACAGGGACAAGGCTGAGCTGACTGATGGATTCCAAGGCAGGAGTCTGGCGAACTGCTGCATTCCCAGCCCTTCTTACCCATCCAGTCTGTTTTTTATTAATATTTTAATCCCCAGATAGCAAAATGCAGTAATTGAGTTTCTGTCTGCACAGCACTACAGGGTTCATTTGACTATGTACATCTGACGTGTACATTTATTCTTCCTTTGTTGTCTTCTTGAACGTACCCTTCTTTTTCACCCAGGATTTTCCTAACAGAAGACATCTCCCAGTCAGCCCAAGGGCACCCACTTCTGCCCCCAAGGGCTGGGGTTTGTTCCTTTGAAACGAGAGCGTGAGAGGCAAAGGAAACTAAAACAGGGAGCTGGGGATTACACGGGTTTTGATTGCACTGATGAAAGAGTTCCAAAAACTTTATTGACCTATAACCCGATTAGAATATGCCAGATGAGAACCAAATATTGTACAGAAAGTTGTACAGAATTTTTTTACATAGAAAACTTTACATATCTGTACCATATACATTTTGTCCATCTGAAAAAAATTTCTACATCCATTGTAATACAGAATGCTTGACAATCTTCTCTTTTAACCATCAGAGCACAATTCACAGTATGAATACATTTCCAATAAATTTAACCATCCCCAAACCATGCCAGATTTATTACTGCAATATATTCAACATTAAATTCTGTACATAAGAGTGAAATCTACATCAAACAGAAAACATCTGACAGCAGACACAACCTAGACTTGTTTGCAGCGATTCAAGTTCCAGTCCTTGAAGGATCCTCATTTCAATGGCTCGTTACATTTAAAAGCCCTAAACCGAGTATGTTACAGGTAGTTACGTCAGTCGTGAGATTTCTACCTCTCTTCTTGACAGGAGTCAGCAACACAAACTGAACTGACTGGGCTACAACGAAACCAAAAACAGGAAAAAAAAAAAGAAAAAAAAAACAACGCAAAAAAAGAAACCCAAACTTCTAGTGCATTTGGTAAACCATGGAGTGTTATGGGTTTTCAGCAACTCAATGGTACAGAAATAAAACAATTCAGGAAGAACTGTATAGTGTTAAAGAGTTTATATTACAGACCTGCATCTCTGTACATTTTTCACAGAAGGATGATTTCCAACGTCTCAGACAGCCTGAGTGTGCAAAAATCTTAGAATATCAGACATAGTTGCTAAATATCTTTTACCATGAACAATAATCTCCATTTTCTTTTCACTATAAACATTTTATCCTTCAAAATACAGCTCTCCTGAGTTGTACTTCTTGCAGAAGCTCAAACCTTTACATATACAGTTCTTTGGGAACACTTTCCTTTCACACCCGCCATCCACATCTGTTGCTGTCCAGGACAGTGAAGGACACTGCAGCCCGTGCTGACAGAGGACTGTGCTAAAAACCAGCTCAGCGTGAGCCAGGTCAGAGAAACCGAGAAGAGAGAATCCATCAGGAAATAAAGGGACGGGAGCATTGCAAGCCTTAATTACAGTTTAAGCATCCGTACCGTTAACCCTTCGATACGCATCGCCAGACAGAGAAACCATTTCTATGGAGATCCAGACAGAACGGCTCAGCTACCTGCTCCTTCCATTCAGCTGAGGAATGGAAACTTCTGAAGGGAGCAATGCTCAGTCACTATCTGCTACTGCTTGCCGACTCCAGACTCTTGTTCTGGTGGTTGGGATATTTGGAAAACCACGCCAATCCGCAGGAAAAACCTTCGTAGGACAGCTCGAAGTTCGGGAATAAGGTCAAACTGCATAATTTCACACAACAGCGGGTAATAGAATGAGGCGTGAGCCTTGAACTGAGGAGAAAACAAACAGAGGAAATTATTCTAGTACACATCAACACACCTCAGAAAGTGCGCTGCCAGTGAAGAATTTTAAACACTTCCCCAAGTCAAGGTAAGAAACCCACACAGTGAGAAGCTGAAACATCTTTGCAACTGAAGCTGGCTCATTCTTCAAAAGGAAGAACTTTCCTATTACCAGATTTTTGCTGTAGTTAGCCTCCCTTACTTAGTATCTCAGCCAAGTTTTGTTAGAAATAGAGGGAGATCTAAATAGGGATTTATTTACTGCAGAATTGCTTTGGTGAAGGTCACGGTCATCTACGTGTAGCACTGGAGGCAGAAACGGGAGTAACTTCTCTGAATAAAACATCAGCCACTAATCCTCTTCCTCAGCAGCAGAGGGGTAAAAGCAATTTAACACGCACTTCTAGAGGATTTTAGCATCTTTTACATTTTCTCAGACACATTTTATCACTCACTGCATTACTGTCAGTATCTGACAAGTGCAGTTTTAACGTGCGTTTCCTCAACAAAGGGTCTACAGGAGCAGCAGGGGCCTTTAAAGTCACGTATGTAACTGTGTGTGAAGAACCAGTCTGGAACTACTTCTTACCTGCAAATGTCTTAAATACCCTTCCTAACACTTACCCTTTCATCACTTATCTTCAGGACTTTAGTCAAAAATAAGAGTAACAGATTGGTCCAGGCTTCCCGATGACTTTCTGATGTAAGAGTGAGGAAATAGCTCAGAGCCTCACTACAGACGCTGGAGAGAAAAGACAAAAAACTGGTAACTAGCTTTTATTTTAAGCTGTACTGCAGAGAGGGAGCTTTGGCTTTGCAACTGCACCAGTGCAGAGCCCTGGTGCAGAATAGCATCATTTTATGAAAGCCTGTCTGATCGGTAACAGAAAGCAGTGATTTGGTTCAGCTCGGAACCAACGGCCCAGGCCTGCAGTATGAAATATGCTGATAAAACATCATCATCGCGCTGTTTGTGTGTGTGTTTGAAGTGTATCGAGTGCTCTCTGACAGGTATTAAAATGCACCTGAAAAAATGATATGTAGACTTCAAAAATTAATCTCATGCTGATGTAACCAGGTAGTTTACAGCTCTGCTCCTCGGTCTATAAACCTTAAAATACATTCACTGTATTACTGCCGTGGTTTTAAGCCCTCTGTTATTCCAACGCTTGCTTGAACAACTTTCTAAACTAGAAATGTTCAAGTGAACCTCAGTATTCACAGTAACAAATAACCAAAAAGCCACAAGCTTCTTCTGTATGCCCATAAGCTCCTCAAGCCTAGTGCTCATTTCTGCAGATGAGAGCAAACAGCATCAAGTCCCTAAAATACCTAAGGTCATTGAAAGAAAAAAAAAAAAGGCAGGGTTTAGGTGATATTTGCTTCTCTTTTTAAAGAGGAGCTCTAACAATCCTAATAACATGCTACAAAACAAGGTGACAAAACCTTTGTTCTCTGCTGCAGATGTAATGAGAACAAAAAGCAGCGGCAGCATTAGTAGCTGGAGGCACAGCTCTCTCCACACAGCGTAACAACTCGGCATTAGCTGTGACCACCACCATGCTGCATTAGCTCCAGGAGGTTCACTGCAAATAGAAGCAGTTTATCCTTTTAAATAAACGCTCAGAATCAGAAATAACATCAACAGGTTCAACTACATGGACCTTACTTTAGTAGCCTTTGCTGGACTTCCTCCCATGCACTGGTGCGGCTTTCATCCATGTACATCCGGAACAGGATGCGCAGCCCGCAGGCAAGGCTGCTGGTCTCCTGCTTCAGAAGATTTGGCTTTGATTTGCCTTTGAAACCTGGAAAAATGCCAAGCACCCATTTGGATTTTTGTTTCATCTGATGTTTTTCCTTACAGCCCCCCACTTCTCCTTCTAAGCATCTTCTGCACGTGGACAGTTAGAAGAACCACCTTGTGCAATGAATTTCTCACAACACAAGACTATTGCTAAAAACTACCCTATGTATATACACACCATAATTGTGCTTGGCACCCATTTTTAAATAAGCTTCCAAGGAGATGTGAAACCTGGGTGTAGGATAAAAGTGCATCCTAAGCACCTGAATAACAGACCATTTTGCCTCAATCATCTGTCTGCAGCATATACTGTTTCATTGCTTGTTTCTGAGAAGATGTCTACCATACTACTGTTTCATAAGCTGTTACTGTATAATTAAACTCAGTTTGCTGGTGGAGGTCCATGCTAGCAGAAAACACACCCCTAAATATTGACACTACCTCACTCCAGCTGAAGTGGCTCTGTGCATGCATACGTCAATGCACAAACCAGCTTGCTGCACGTCCACAGTATGCATTCACCATTAAAAATGTACCTAACTTTGGTGCAAGGAACAGATTAAACACAATGCTACAGAGTCCGTCTTCCATCTGTTTCCGAAAATGACATGTTTCACTTACACACTGCTAGGTAAAACAACCCCTTTAAGTTTCTGGGTTTTGTGCCTGCAGCGTCCAAGCACGGGACTCACACCTACAGCCAGGGATCAGCTTGGCAGCAGTAACCCAATGAAACCTTAAATTTTAGGAAACGTTAAGAGATATCTGGGAGGGGAGGCCACCTTCCCTTAGGGATTCTAGGGTCATAAAGCTACAGCCTGATATTCAGTATTACCAGAGTACTTTTGAGCTATTTTTGGGTCAATTCAAAGCACAGTAACGCATTCTCACAAAACCTCTCTCCAAGGCGATGGACTCACCTGCTTTCCAGAGAGCTGTTCTTTGCTCGTTGTTGGAGTTAAACGCTTTAGCAAATCTGTGAGATTCCAGCAGACAATCGAGAAGTTTGAAAAGCTGCTGTGATGTTAGGAAACGGTACATCCCTTGATCTTGTGTATCCACATGGACATCAAAGTCCACTGCATCTCTCTATTAAAAAAAAAAAAAAGAGATTTCTAGTAAAAATTCACAGTTGTTTTCAGCAAGCTTCTGTGATAACTCAATCATGCCCTGTTTTCATCTATACTTGTATTTAAACTTAAAACTGCACTAAAAGTTGTATCCACATCCCAGTTACATAAATACCTTTGAAAAATACACGTTTTAATCTCCATAGTGTGCTGTCCCAGCACAGCAAATGCAATTTAATGCAAGATGTAAAAGATGTCAACAGTCTGCTCCAAGTTCTCAAGCGCTTCCAGAAATTGTAAATTAGAAGATGTTACAGGAGTTTCTGGAACTTCATCCACTCGAGAGACACCCATCAGTTCTACTCACTTGTGCTGCTGCCAGATTCTCCGCATCCTCCTTTTTGCTGGTTGCTGGGAAGAACACAATATTGTCGATAGTCTGAATGAGTTCCAGTTGTACAACACACTTGATCAAAAGAGCAGCAAATAACTTCTGTTCTGGAAATTCTTTAAAGGAAAGAAAAAGAAAATTGCTTCTTAACTAAGGATCTGCAATACTTTTTTTTTTCTTGAGCTCTTTGGGGGTAAGTTGAAGAACAGCTTAACTTCAAGCAGATTCATAAACCACACCTGGAATCCCCCCATCTAAATTACTCTTGTAAAAACAGGACATGTTAACAACTGACAGGTTTTAAAAAACTATTTTCTAACTTTAAAATCACCTTGTCACATATTGGGCAAATACTCAGTGCTACCTAAAAGTCACCAAAATTGGTGACCTTGTTGTTAGCATCAGAACAATGGCAGCAACCAGAGGCTGAGCCTGGCCACAGGCAGAGGCGGCTGAGGACAGGACCGGTACCATCGATGCTTGTTTGTACTCAAGGCAGGTACTCACCACCAGACGTGAGCATTTTAGGCACCAATACATAACTTTCCACAGGTATCTTAAGGAATTGGCATATTCTCCTCAAATCAGTCTAAATACACCTTTTTTTCCCTAGCTATTGCTTCTGTTACATCCTGCGCAGAAAGAACTTTGCTCTTAAGAAAAAAGAAATCACTCATTACACAGCATTATAAGGAAAGGACTATTTTTAATAGTTTGCTTTGGGTAAACAGCCTGCATCATGTTTCTGAAGTTACAGCTTGGGCTGTAACTACAGATTTCAAACAACTGCTAATTACTACTTTTAACCGATACAAAGTGCCAAATCACCACAAAACACGCACTTGCTGTTGGCCTGGCTTTATTCATTTCTTCACCTCCTGCGGACCCTGCGCTGGGCTGATATGGACGGCCATCGGAAGATCTAGGCTGAAAGGAATCGTGAATATCTACTGACTTCTGTGAGATTGTGTCCTGAAAAGCAAGCCAAAAAAGTCAGTTTACAGACAACTTTTATGAGCCAATTGTCAATGGTGGTGTGCTCTTCTTCTACACTGCACTTCTCCATTCGCTTCAGTGTTACTGGTTATTGGCATTCAGGAAAGATGTACTAAAAAGATGACCTGCTAAGAAAGAATTGAGAATTTAACAAGCAACAAATACTAATTCTCAGCAGCAGCAAAGTAACTACAGGGCTGCTACTTGTAGGCAAACCTAAATTTTACATCAGTTTATTCAATCAGTGCTAAGAAATTTGATGGCTATACATATATTCTACTTTAAACACTGATGTTTAAGTTCTTATTAGTAGAGAAAATTTTAAGGAAAAAGAAATGAATCTAACTGGCAATATTTTCACCTCCAGGATTTTCTCATTCTGCCAATATATCAAAGAGAATATTTAGCAAAATTTTGGCTAATTAGCTAAATTTATTTACTTGTTTATTTATTTACTTAGCAAAAAATCCCATGCCTCAAACCAGAAAACAACTCAAACTGTAAATAAAGTGTTACCAGGCACAGGACATTACCGAAAACACACCCAGATAATGACCTACAGCCAACTTCTGGAAGCCAACTTTGAATGCTGCAAACAAACACGTACTTCTCTTCCTCAATTAATTCCTTGCCATTTTTAAGCATTAAGTAACACTTTTACTTGAAAACGTTTTTCCCAGTTAATCAAAACTGAAAACTGGGTTTAAACTAAGTATACTTTTCACTTATTCTACATCACAACATATTCGTAGTAACTCCTGCAAGCTTTTGAAATATTTTTTATTTCAGCAGCTTACCAGTTTTTCTTTAGCATCAGAGGGAGATCCAGAGCCAAACTCCCCACCAGCTGGTCGCCAAGTCAGCAGCCTTCAAAACACAAAACCAGCACAAAATTTACTAAGTTTGAAATACAAATCAGAACCAACACTCTGTAAAAAGTCCACTTCAATATGGTGGGGTTTTTGTTTAATTTAGGTTAATGGAAGCCATTAATTAGATACTTCCATAAATTAATAAACTAAATTTAGCTTTAAGTATACAATTTAGATTTTCAATATGTGGGAAAGAATAAGTACTGTGTTTCTGAACTTCAGTGTTTCTCTCAATTGCCTTGGACGGACAAGTGGCTTATGTGGAGGTGGATTATTTTTCTCAAAAACACTGGAACTGGCTTTATGCAGCACTCCTGTACCCTTACTGGGCCTTGTTCTCTCACACCGCCTTAAACTTTACCTTGAATAAGGAATGACTCTTCCCCAAGCCAAACCAGCATGAACGTCTGGAGGTGTTTCGTATTCTCCGTTTGCGATATGCTCCAGCATTGTGGTCCTCTTTCCACTTAGGATTCAACATTTCTACTTAAGATTCATCACTGCTACAAAGCCGCTGACAATACTTCTGATCTCATCCCAATAGCACATTGTTGCCTTGAGGATCTTCACCTTAGGCACTAAAAACTTTCTACATTAATTATAACTTATTGAGGCTGCCAAGGATCCACGGAAAGGAGATTAAATAACCTAAGTAGTACCATCACCTCATGTTCTATCAAATCTATTGCTACAAAGTAAGATTAAGGTTATTTGTCACTGTTAAGGTCTCAAACTATTTAGCCTTGATCTGTGTGAGGCAACATTCATGTCAAAAGCATATCCTAAGTGAGATCTGTGCCATTATGTTAAGGATCCTAAACAACTACAGACCATACAACTAAAGAGACAAATCTGAGATAAGAAAAGATAAAATCTTGAAGTAGTTAAGGAGACAATAAATAATTTAAAGTAGAGCAAACAACTGAATTGATTCTTGAAAGCTACCAGGACACAAATTGTAGATTATTCTGGATTAGAGGCTGTTAAATACAGTGTAATTTGTTTTGGGCTATAAAGTCTTCAACTTCCATCTGCCAAAGGCAGTATTGGAATAATGAGCCAGCAAAGGCCAGATCATTGTAATCTGTGCAAGAAGCCAACTCTAACTCTTCAATTCCCTGAGGACAAAAAGGGATTCACCCTGGCTTTCTCAGCGCCAGTGAGCCAACACTGGCTTTCACGAAGCTTCAGAAAATTTCAATTAAGGAAATTATGAACAGAATAGAAATTAAATAAAGAACAATAATCAAAGAAACAGGACCAGAGGCAATGGGCACTGAAACACAGGAGATTTCCTCTGAACATCAGGAAACACTTTTCCACTGTGAGGGTGATCAAGCACTGGCACAGGTTGCCCCGGGAGGCTGTTGAGCTTCTCTCCTGTCAGATGTTCAAAAGCCAAGACATGGTCCTGGAGAAACTGCTCTGGGTGGCCCTGCCTGACCAGAGGGGTCAGACCAGATAAGCTCCAGAGCCCCTTCCAACCTCGACCATTCTGTGCGATTGTGTCAGTATCTTCAGCTATTAACACCTCAGTGATGGATGGAAGGTGGCTGGGTCACCATCCCTGGAGGTGTATATGTTGAGCTCAGGGACTTGGTCTAGTGGCAGACTTTGGGCTGGTTTGGTGGTTGGACTCGATGATCTTAAAGGTCTTTTCCAACCAAAACCGTTCTATGACTATGATTTCTGTGGAAGCCTGGTAGGAGTACAGTTTGGGCCTTTCTAGTAAGTGATCCCTGCTGAAACTGGTAGGCGAGTAAATAATCTAGTACTAAGTTTTCTAAACAAGGCAATGATATGATCATCTGTCTTTGCAAAAAGGTAACTTTCTAAGAGCCAGCAGAGGCTCGAACTGCAGCTATCAACTCCTGCAGCCAATGCTACAACTCTTAAACTGGAGTTACACAATACCTGGAAGATGTTTTATAGCAATACTAAAAAAAAATAGATGTGATCCTACCTGATCACGTTAATAAAAACCTCTGCCAGAAGACACATTGCACTCCAGAGATTCATAACATCTGACTACTTCAAGACAATTAACAGTAAAGCACTTGCCCATAAAACTTTCAAATACACCACTGTGCAATTTGTCTCTGCCTTCACTTCAACGTTAACTACTGGATCACTTCCAGACATGGAAAAACAAAGGTAAAAGAAGCATTTGTTGCCTTCTCTAAATACACACAGAAAAAGAACCAGATTCCACAAAGAGAGAGAAAAAAAGAGCAGCTGTACAGAAGGAGAAAGAAGTATCCTCCTAGGGCTCAGAAAGAGAAGGAAGAAACCACAAGTACAAAGTCTCCATTAAAAATCTGAACAAATACCTGTATAACATTACCACAATTTTTTCTTACCCATCTAAAAAGCTTCAACTTTAATCAAGTGTGGTTAAAGTGAAAACATTTTTGAGCAGTTTTGTGTCACCCAACAACTGTTTGGAAAAGAGCAGGCGTACGTTCACCACTGGTCGCGTATGCTGAAGGGATTATTCATGTATAAACTCCGAGTAAGATTTACTCTACCCTGTTGAAGTTGGGAACCTCCCAGAAATACAAGGAGGAATAATATAATGAAGTTATCAAAAATGGCACAGAAAGATTAAAAAAGGACATGGGAAGTAAAGAATGGAAATTTGGAAGGAGTTAGGTACCCTCCTAGGAGAAATAACCCATTTGAAAAGCAGAAGTGCCATAAACATCAAAGGGAATCATGCACGTATTTAAATCAGATATAGCTAAAGGCAACAAGAGTAATTAGAATGCGTCTAAAGATGAAGATATCCAAAATGCTACTCTAGAAGGGTTTCTAATATTAAACTGTAAGAATACCCAGACACCTATAAGTTTTGATCATATGTGGAAACCAAAGCAAAAGTTCTGCTAGCGAGTATTCACTTCAGAATCTTTCCAAGTATGAGATACAGCACCTTAGGGCTAATTCAACTGTACTTTTACATCCAGAAATCTGGTTTCAAATTTTATTTTTGACAGTTACCAAAATGCAAAAAAATTCAAACCAACCCCAAACCAAATCAAACCAACCCAAAACCCAAACAAAAAGCAACCTTGCTAGCTTAGTATTACTTTTTACATGCAGTTAATTTATACCTGTTCATGTAGAAAAGCAGGTGAGGTAGTGGCATATAGATTAACTTATCTTTTAAGCATGAGTGAAGCTCTCTTTACAGTGCTTTCTGATACATAACTTTAAAATTAAGGAAAGACTGACATGCAGAAGGTTTTGTTTTGCATCAGTTTTCTTCGAGGTGATACCCAGAAGCAAATGCTATCAACCAAGTGACAGATATAGGACAAGTACAAATGCAACAGTTCAAAATTATGACTATGATTTGAAAATAAGCAGTGTTTCATCTCAGTATGGGGAGGGCAGAGGAAAAAACCTTTGGTATAATGCTGGAAGTGATTTCTTGTTATTCTGCTCTGTAACATACAACATACTACACAGAATAGTACAGCCCTGTTCCAAAAAACTTCGCAGAGTTATAACATGAAGGGAATGATAGTTACCAAATATGCAAGATAATTTTCATAAAAGGATCAGGATTCATAGAAACGTATGATGGAAGTTAATCTTCAACCACAGAGACTTACCTCTGTACGACTGTTGCAGTATTTCAGCTAGTATTTTGCGGAAAAAACTTCATATGTAATTACAAAATGTAAAGTCTGCCTATCAATAGCATTCTTCTATTACAAAACAAAAAAACAACCGAAAAAATCAGACAGTACTTCTAAAAAATCCAACACTTTAAAATTGAATGAAGTTACAGTTTGGGTTTTGTTTTTTTTTTGCTTATCTCTCATAAAGTCTTTCTAGTTTTTAATCAGTTTCTCATTTGCAACACAGAAGAATCATATCTAGCGCCTATTTTATCACGATGTTCCAAGAAAGATGGCTTCTGTTTAGTCCACCATTGACTAAAAAGCTTGACAAAGCGTAACTGTAACAGCTTTTTTGTTCACCCCACCTATATGATATCTAACAGTTTGAAAGCAGCTAAATTATTTTACAAAGTATAAATTTTAAGAGTCTTCTTACGCATTAGGGATTGTAGTTTTGAAAATATCCAGCATGCAAGTGCAAGTTTTGTCCCAGATTTCTAGGGTAAATTTTTCACCATTTAGGATGACAACGTTCTCCAAGCAGTTTGTGCCAGACCGTGCCAGTTGTTCATTGTCTGGAAGAGACAAACAGTGCATTTGTTTATTCACACTCAACACAGTGAAATGTTAACATGGTTTAACATAATTTGGTCCAGTCCTACCTTGCTGCACACACCAGTACAGCTGTGCAAATATATCATCCAAAAGCACATCGCTAAGTACTTCTAAATACTGTGTGAATACATCACATATTGCATAAAGTGCGTGGTTGCAAGTAGTTGTCATCCACTCAGCTTTCTAGGAAGGAAGGGAAAAACCCGTTATTACTTTGTTTAAGGTAAAACTTTTAGGATATGCATCCCTGAAGATAGACTGATATATATATACTTTACTCAATTTGAATTGCTTCACAGTGATATGCAATCCATTTCTGTATCTCAAAACACCCAAAACTTGGGAGCCCCAACTTTTGTTTTGCTAACTATCAGGTTTAAAAAACTACAGAAACAAACAGTGATTCTTAGAGACCAGATTATAGGACTGTCAAGTACTTACTATCATATGAGACACTGAGTTTGAAGTTAAACTCAGTATCTACCCTAACTCAATAGTTTAACACTAAGCTATGTTTTCTGAGTATCTTCTAAATATTTTCCAAGGAATAAAGATGAATAAAGTGAGACATGTCCCTCTACAAAAAGTCAGACAAAGACTTCCAAACAGCTGACAGTTTTGATCAAACTTCTAATAGTAATACTTTACATATAATTTATGTTGATAAACCCAATTCTGTTTAACTTCCTTGTCAGGACAGTACCTGTTCTTGGTTTGGCAGGTCAAAGCCTGTTTGGCTGGTCAAAAGGGTGCAGTGAAAGCACAGTGCTGGGTTTTTTGGTTGAGGTCTTTTTGTTTCCTTTTCTTTTTCCCTAGCCATCAAAAGGTCTGAATTAGCCAAACTTATGTTCTTTTAACTGTGATCACACTGCTGATAACAAGCCTCATTCCATTGAGCTTGTTGCCATGAAATGATGTATCAGATTCAAGACCTGATGTGTAAAGGCTGCAGTTCTTCTTACAAACCCAAAATACATTGCATTTTATGCTATTCCTCTATCGTTCATAGTGTAAACTACTAGTACTTTTACACAGATGGCTCAAAAAATGACAAAAGTGACAATATCTCTAACTGAATGCTAATAAAACAAAATAAGACTACTGGAACCGCAGATCAATCAAGCAAGTTTTGAGGTTTGCCTTACATTACTTGATAAGCTATATTACTAATCAGGTTTTCTACTGTAGCTATAGATCTCATGTAAATTCTCTTCCCCCACTTTTTTCACCTCAGTCTGCTGTTCTGGCAGCTTCATGTTGTCAAATATCCTAAAGACAATCCGAAATAAATCTTGCCACCAGTGTTTTTCGTAAGTATGGCCATATGTCTTCATGATTTCAAACATTACAGTTAAGCCCCTGAAATGAAGAAAGAACAACATATATTAAGGGTTATATAAAGATACACACTAGACCAAGTATGTCCAACTGCAACTGCAATAACCAACTCAAATACTGTTATGAACATTACACACTGATCTGGTAAATGTGTACATAAGTTACATTAGCATCCTAAAATTAAACAGAAAATCAATTTGTCTAGAAAGCTCTTAAAAGTCACAGGCAATAATCAGAAAATACTTTTGAGAACTGTGTTAATTTCAAATAAAAATAGGAAAACAATTTCTTTACAAAAGACCATAAAAATGAAGGAATAAGTATTTCCAGGTAAGAAACAGAAGTCTAGAAATGAGTATTAGTCTTCACTGGCTATGAAGGAAGTCCAGATGCACAGCTCACATGTAAATGTATAAATTTCAAGTGATTTGTAATGAAAAAGTAATACCTATCTATTTATCATAATGCATTCACAACCACGTAACATTATTTATTATAACAGAAGATAAAAATTTCACATGTAAAGAACATAAGCCTAATTTCTATATTCCAACATCTATGTCAAAGGTGTTTTCAAAAAGCTTGTCGCTCCCACAGTGAGACTGCCTAAATAAAATGCGTAAGTCATTTTAGACTGGCTACATTTACTAAGAGAGTTGTTTCTGTTTTAAAAGTGTAAAGTAAGCCTTTTAAAATTTGAATTACAAATACTGATTGTTACCTGGTTCTTACATCTAATTTGCATCTATTGATGATACAGGACAACTCAAACAGAATTGGGAACCATCCTCGTACCCACACTCTGTCTTCAGGAGCTACATTCATATCATCACTTGTGTATTCCTTGAATGCCTTTGGAAGCAAACACAGGGTTACACAGAGTCGTAAGAGTTAAGGTTTTTTCAAAATAAAACACGATTTGGACTGGAAATAACAATCTCTGCTGTACTAGTATTACACCTTGATACATCAGCTGAGCTGGCAATCAAAATAATAATACATGCATTTCAAAGTAATGCTTAGTATACTATGGAAAAAAACCTAAAGAAATAAATGAGATGATACATTCAAACATTAGTTTTTGCTTGCAGTTCAGTCTGAGTCTCTTATGCTCTTTTTATAGAGACAGCACTGAAAAATGAGGATCTACCATAACATTTTGAGGAAGTCAAGCATTTTTTCTTATGCCGTTATCCGTTCTTCACAGCATTTCTCAGTAGAGAACAGATCCCGAGATATGTTGGTTTTCAGTGGCTCTCAGGAAAGCCAGCCACCAGCTGAACTGGGGCGGGGGTAGTGGAGGCAGGCAGAGGGAATTAAAAAAACAACCTAAAAATGTTGATACTTTCAAAGCTTGTGGCATTTTATACCCCTATTACTTCTGAATAAAGTACATTTCTCATTAACCTCTGAAACATGAAGGAAAGCCAGTAAGGTTAGCGCAAGTAATTTTTTCTTTATAAAGAGAGGTTCTTGATTAAAGCACTTAGAATTTAGTTAATACAGACTATACCTGAGGTCTATCAGATACATATTTTGCACAGTGGCGAATGAGGCGGATCGCTTCCATACTAGTATCTGGAAATGCTGCATTGCAGGCAAATTCAGACAAGCACTTCACTGCATCCTGGAAAGAATCTATGGTTGCTGGGAAGTGTTTTTCAAATACAATTGCTGGGAGAAAAGTGTGAACAGGAAGGAAAAAAAAGAAGTGTCATGCTTTAAAGTCTATTAATTCTAATATGAACTGACTGTAACAGAAATAATGAGAAACTGGTTCATTGACTGGTGCTATCAAATCCTTGAGTATTAATAACAGCTAAAAAATAAATGCTCAACCAAAAAAAATCACCCAGAGGACATTCTCTCTTGATAGTAAATAAGCATCTGAAATAAATAAAGGTAGCACCTAGTCTAAAGGCAGGAAATTTTACAGTAAGCAAGAACAGAGCAGTAGGCTTACTCCTTAACTGTGTGATCAGAGCTTAAGAGGGCTACATAAAGCACTGAGTTTCATTTATAAAAGGACTTTTTCCAGCAATGTGGTCCTGCTGCCTTGGCTTTAAATAGTCACTTTGGAGGGAAAAAAACCCCAGCATTCTCCATCAGTGCTGAAAAAGTTTTAGGAACTTGCAGAGGTTGAGACAGAGTAAGAGATCCCTTATGGGACTTGAAGCCTGAGATCTAAACTAGAATGGAAACAAAACAAAACAAAACCCCATAGTCCTGCCTGGCTCAGCACTTTCTCCTAAACAGGGCAATACACAATCACAATTCAGAAACAAGGGAAAACAGAAGAAAACAAGGACATAATTGTAAAATGACTACGCTACTTTTCTGGGGAGGCAGGGGGAATTCTTTGCTTACACATAAAGTAAATAATCTAATGCTCAGCTTGTTTTACTACAGGATGGTACAAACAGATTTTTTTTTAAAGGCATGAAAGAAGACAGATGACAATAATCTTACTGAATTATCTGCCTTAAGTATTTTCCCAGAGGACTGTTTGAAAATTGTGAAACACTGGCTCTAAAGCACAAAGCAGGCTTTACTATGCAGGCTGCAGAGCCAACAGAAAAACAAATCTCAGCCTCTGGACTCACATACACTTCCACGATGTCTGAAGATGATCAGTACTCACTGACAATGTGTCCTGTAGTCTGGAACGCCAGCTCCACTATACTTTCATCCTGATCTGAGGCAGCCAGATGAAACACTGAAAAAATGTTTTTCCAGCCAGAACGAATGTTAGCAGCCTGGGAATTTACCATCTGTGCAATACACCGTACAACCATGTCTCGAATAGTAGGAGACCTAAATTAAAATAATAAATGTGAGTTATTTAAACTAAATTACATCATCAATTAGAATAGTATAATTCTCTAGCAACTGATTTTACAAAAGCAATTTGAAACATTACTTGCAAAAGTTGGTGCTTGTGATCCCAGGCAATTCAGTTAATTGTATGTTATTACCTGTTCCTCTTCATGATATGTTCAAACGGTCTTAAGAAGTCTTTCTGGAATCGGAAATTAGCAAGTTCTCCTTTTTCTAAGAACTTCATTGATAATTGCCTTAATGAGTCTACTGCAAAAATAGCTACATCTTCATTGGGATTGCAGCCAACCTGGTAACGTAGAATAGAAACGCATAGTAAGCCTGCATCAGAATTTTCAGAGATTCAGCCAAAGCTGCCTTCATATTTGATAATGGAGAACTAAGCAGCGCTGGAAAATTTACAAAATTAAACAGTAGTCAATTCCAGAAACCACATCATTAATGCAATTCAGTAATGCCCAGCCAAATCCAGGTATTTTCTACATTATATAACCTAGCATTCAAAACTTTCAGAAAATAAGCAAGCTGTCTAGAAAGACTTCAATATGCACGTCAAACATTATCACCTAATAAACAGTCAATTTAGATTTGAACAGAAAACAACCTCTTACCCCAAGCTTCATAAAACACACCCCAAAATTAGAACACATAACTGAAGGCAGCCAGTTCTAGACCCAGGTCATGACAAATAACTTAATGTAGGCTGCTGCTTTTACATTCATTATACTGTGTACCTCTGCCTTCCCGCAGACCTTTTCTGCTTTACAGTTTTTGCTGTATTTTAAGCTACTTATACAGAAGGATAGAAAAAATGGTGTAATTCAGTTGAGTACAGGCTTTTCCAACAAATCTCTAAACAAAATTCATTTGTACTGATAATTCAAATAGTATGCAGTATGATCACTAACGTGGATACCTTATTAAAATGATCTCCAATAACTTCCCAAATTCTAGACCACTGTAGCCTTATGCGACCCATGTTGTAGTAAGAAATCTCTACTATCTTCTGCAGACTAAACATTCGAGGGTGCGTTGCAGACAGCAGTTCATCCATAGATACAGCACAGAGCCAGCGAACGAAATCCACTGTTAAATGATCACAGATTTTAATTCAGTATTTTTTCCAAGGTTTAAGACAAAGCTGTTTTATAGCTTAGGGGAGAAGGGGGAGACAAAAACCTACCAATAGCATTTCCATCCAACCTTGTAGATCCTGTAAATATTCTGTAAAGTGAAGTTTAAGACATTGTTATAATTTCTTTAAAAAGCTTCTATTAAACATGTATTCAAGATTTTTAAATATATATATATACACTTATATTTATTAAAAAAAGAATAATTGTGGAAAAACACTGAGCTTAGACAATAAAATGAGAAATATTTCCATTATTTCTAATATTTAAAAATAAATTCCATGAGCATGCATGGAGACTGGGAAGGTGAGCACTATTTCTAATACTACATAGTGACTGATGAATATGGTCAGTAGTTTATAAACTATTCAGCCCTGCTCCAAAACCAGAAGTCAAACTTCTCCAGAGCACATGATTCCTATTTGCCACGACAAACAGGTACTTGAAACACTTCCCATTATGAAGCAGGGAGAAATACCACAAACTGAAAGAGCTGTTACATGTTTGACATTAAACCTACAGTTTGCTTGACGTGATTTTACTGCAAGGCAACTTTCACTGAACTGACATCAATCTTGCTGTCTGTACTCAATCACAGAAATGCTTGTAAGCCTTCAGAAGAATTATACCATTTTGTGATTGTCAATTTTGACAAACACTAAGAAAATGGCATTTTCCGATTTATTATATGCTGACACAGCAAGATCCAGTCTGGTCAGTACTTTATGATATAAACAGGGAATGTTAATGATCTGTATTATGCCTGATCAAATCCAGTTAGGACAAATATGATCCATAGAAAGGAAGACTGGAATAGTAATTTTGGTAATTTCAGTCAACATCTACATAACCTAGAGGAAAGCACAGAATCAGCAATTACGTTTAGGAGAAAAAGGGTCTGTCAGTAATGCTCTCTGCACTAAGGCAAAATGAGATTTGCTATAAGTGACTATTATACAGCAAATCAAGATTCACCAGACAGTACCGTAGTCTTCATTTTGCAGGTCTCCTGTAATAATTTTGTATCAGTAAAAAGGCTTCTTGCCTAATCTTTGTTCTGTTCCTTCTTGCAGAAATACTTCTGCTCCATTAAAAAAACCCACAAAGCCAAAAAGCACTTTAATATGGTATTTTTTTCCAAATAGGAGTAAACTAATAATGTCCTATTATTAGCACACGGTATACAAATATTGTTTAAGAAGCTTGAGGTGGCAACAACAAATTTCATACAATACCTGTCCACAGCAACGACCACGCTTTGGGAGCTAGTTTCACCAATGGATTCCTGAATACTTGCTATCTGCTTCCAATCCACGTTTCCACCAACTACAGCGAAAAGAATTTGAAAAATGGGTAAGAGATAACACAGAAAGGGCTGGGAAGAAAGGAGGAAGAGAAGTTGTGCCACTACCAGTATAATT